ATATTATTATTATCCGATCGAGTATGAAATAGTAGATACTTTACGTAGTACTTCTTACTTTATTCAAAAGTCTCGTCAATATCATCGCACGACTTATATAGATGACACAACAGGAATACAGAGTTGAATAAAGTTGTGAAGAATAAGACTCCGAGGAAATAATGAGACTTTTTCAAATTGAATAAGGAAATACTAATGGAAAATGATGGAACATAATGAACGGTGTTTAACGAGACGTTCGATACAGAAACTTCGGAATTCTCGTCGGAACTATTAAAGTCGCGAAACTTTGATCTACCGCGGCTGGCTGCTCCGGCCTGAAAAGCCATTAGAAACGACAGCGAATGCGTAGTAGACGTTGCGTTACATAACGTCCTAATGATCCATTTCTCCGGCGCGACGCGAAACGGGTTTCACTACCATGTAGAATTTAGAACACAGATTTTGAACGCTTCCATCGCGGAAATCAATTTCCATTAACTAATTTAGGGAAAAAATCTCGGCCCAAGTTCTACAAATATCAATTGCCAAATTGAATTTCTGCCCTCAATTATTCGTCGGATATTTTTTAACAGGACAGATATTTTTTACTGATTCGTTGAATTTTGATTACATTTTCCAATTACTTGAACTGAATTCAGAATTTTTCTAATTTGGAAAATGTTCCTAGAGGAGGACCTATGGCACTGCGGGGACAATTTATATGCATATCTCTATCTCGTTTGAGTGCACCTACTCACACGTACTGGCTGACACTGACAAGGGAAAAATAAAGCGGCAGGCGTGTTAGTAGAAGGAAGAAAATATGAAGAGAGGATTTTCACCACAGAAATGCATGAGAAATTTGGTTAGCACCATGGCAGTAGCGAACTCCAGAATACGCTCGCATCGATTCGTTATATTTCTTCGATCTCCTCTGGGCAATATATAAAATTACTTTTCGATTGACATTTTCTGTCCCCAGTTCGTTTGGAAAACAAAATAAACTGCAAGTGGTTCATTCTATTTCCTACTCGACCCTGGCTCCTGCATTTTCCAACACGAAAGAACATAAGTGCGAGTCATTTTTATTTTATATTTGTTAATCTCCTGTAAAAAATATATTTATTTCTTAATTTTGCATTCCATAATGGAATCACAGAACAGCGTATGATTTCATGGCTGGATGAAATTGCAGGCTTGTCTTCCGCGAAACTTGATCTTGGCTAAGTACTTATCGCGCGCCACATCGATTTAAATCGCGCCGCTGATACGCGTCATACAAATTGGTACTAATTGGTACTAACAGGGCTGCATCGTGAAAGAAAAACCGCGGACGCCTTTCACTTTCTTCCTGCCTAAGTGAAACTGAATGGAGAATTACATCAGTCCTCTTATAATAAGGTTCCTGGATAAAAAGAAGACAATTATTCAGCACATTATACTAAACGAGTCAGGGCATCTTCTTTTATATATAAACATGTTCACTGATGTAACGCGAATTGGAAGCGCGTCGTACGGGGTGACACAGCGTCGGAACGATTTCACGGCCCGTCGAAATTCAACTTGGCTTCCGTGAAACTGGGGATCGACCGCGGGGCTATCGATTTTCAGCCGCGGACGACGCGGCAGCAGTTTTCCAGCCTCTCGGCATTATCCAAGCCGTGTAACCTTGCGAACGAAGGCGTAGTCGCCGACACGGCCGACCGATTCTGCCGTCCGCTGCGGTGGAAACCGCAAAATACAGCGTGCGTACCCGGTTATGGGCAGTGTTTAAAAGCGGCGAGCTTGAATTTGCGTAATCGACCGCGACCGAGGGTGTTCTCATTTTATCGAACACTGGGACTGATGCAAAATACATGCTCTCTACGTTACGCCGGTTGGCTGACGATTGAGTGCTATCGATTCTTCCTTGTTCACTAAAGAACAGTTGATTTGGTTAAATTTTTTTACATATTCATGTGTCAGTTTCATTTCTCTGTTCATTATCCATGTTATTACTGATTTGAATATCAATCGTATCAAGCAATTATAAATGAATCAACAGATTGATCAATTCTATGTTGAAACATTACATTCACAGTTTAATTCCTCCGAATGAAAAGAAATATCTTTGGAATTCGATTAGGTTCGAGAAATATTGCAATAAATTGCAAACTGGCTACATAATCGGAGAATCGTTCCTACCTGTTCGGCTTCCGCGAGTGAGTCAACGCGACTTCGTCGCGTTAACCTAGTTAAGTTGTGATTGTAGGGGATGATGTACGGCCTCGAATCGAGCCCACGCGGATTTAACGAGCCGGCCGAACGTGGGTCGGACAGACTCTACTCTACGCTCCTCCGTTTGCTCGATGACAACGGGATAACATCGAAAATTCATACCGATATCCTCGGTAATTGTAGCCTGAGAACGTTTACTCTATGAATCATCAGCCTCCCCGAGATACAGTGCTAATATCGTTTGTCTTTGTAGACCATCCCTGATCTCTACGTACTGATTCACCTACTATTCTCTCGAATGTTAGCGAAAGCTTATCATAATCGCGACTGTGTTTGTTCGCGGTTAAGAAAGATCTGTTTGCAAGTCGAATGGAGATACAAAGACTTCGCTAATCAATTTCTAATCACACATCCTACATGTTCGACTGTTTCATTTTAATTCTGTGGTGGTGGGGTTGAACGGCAAAGAATTATCTGAGCCAACCTGCACGGGATCGGGCAAAAGCCGGCGGCTCTACCTTCTCGTGGTCCCCGCTGAACACCCCTCACGCTTCGCGAAGCGAGATTGGTGACCAAATGAGCCGCTTCCCTCGGGGTAGATCCAACTTGTCCAATGACGCTTCCTTCGGGTGAGCAGAGGGCAGGGTTTTTCCAAGCTCGAGACCAGTACACCACCTACACTGGACGCTTCCCTTCGCAGTTGGTTTCGCTAGATTGATCGCCAATATCACCTGGCAGGCGAAGCCGATATGGGGCTTAACCCCGAGGCGCGGCATGTCGCACGCGACCAATTATCGCCAATACTAAATGTTTCATTTTAATTCTTCGGTTATAGCCGGAAGGCTGAGGCACCGTACGCCAGCCATTGCGGGCTCAAGAGCGCAAACACAACTGTTTCATTTTAATAGTTGAAACGAACAAGAGTGGAGATCAAAGTGGAACAGATTTCTTCTAATGATTAGCTGCGGTATTAAAAAGAGGCGCAGAAATGAAAAAGGGGTTGATGAGCTACAAACCACAGTTCTTGCCTACTTAACGCCGCATCGCAACGTTTCTTTCCGCGCATCCCTGCACGGATCCCCGTTTTTGCCAACTTAATTAACGACCCGGCTAATGGCGGAATAAGAAGGAGGGTACTATCCTCGCCATACATAAATCTGGCACGTGGAACCGCATCGAGCCAGGTGCGGCCAAGCTTCCTGGTGCTGGCCCAAGTATTTTTAAGATATGAAAAATCGTGCCCACCTGTGAACAGATCTCCTGTTGTGATGAAAAAAAATATTCTTTTACGGCGGGAATAAAATATTCGTTTTAAGTGAGAAAAACTCGTCAGTCTTCTACCATATAAAAGGACAATTGTTACGTGAGACTTTGTGTATTCTTTTAGGGCGAGAATAAAATACTTTTTTACGCGTGAAATGGAGTAGTTGTTTATCCGCAATCGTTGCGGTTTACGAAGTTCGGAATCTACAGGGTGAATCGAGCTCGATGATTCGAGCTAGTTTATAGAACACCGATGCCCTGTGCATTACATCGTAAACATAAACCCCGCCAACGTAAAGTTTCAATATGCCGAGTGACTCGTTTTACGATCACGTTAAAGCCGAAGGTATAAAGTATACAGCTCTCTGGATATTCCAATACGCCGTAAATTGGAGAGAATTACGTTTATCTTAAGAGAGGGATGTATAGAAAAGAGAAATAAGGTACTGTTCCCTGCGTTGTTTCGACGCGAGGTCTGCCGACAGGACGGCTGGAGCTCGAGACGCGAAACTTCTTTCGCAAACTACGCGTAGGGACGTACGCGATAAGGATGAACAGGAGCCACCTGAGACATGGTAACGGAAGAAAGGGTGTACGAGCAAGGGACCGACCGATTTGGCGTCGATCCAACGAATCGATGGGGCTTTTATGAACAACGTGACTGAACATCCTCGCGAACAAGCGGGGTCTCGGCGTTCGATGCGTCGCGCGTCGCGTCGGCCGCACACGGAACGGATTTAGCTTAATTTATGCGAATCGCAGGACACGCGTATCCCAAGGGGAACAACGACGTTAATGAAGCCGTTGTTTCAACGTTGTACTCTCGAGTCGCCAGCGGAATTTCAGCCAAACTCTAACGCTAGTGGAGATCGTGTTAAAATTACAGAATGGACAACAGAGTAATTGAGATACCGGCTTAGTTTCAGGACACTTCCAAATGATCATTGTCTATCAATTATGAAGAATATATAACATAAAGTAATCATTAATAAATATCTCATAAATTTAACGGGAAATCGAATTCTGATTGCAGATGAAAATCTTCTTTTCTCTTCATTTATTGAAAGAATCGATAGAAAGCAAACTGCGAAATGAACAGTTTTAGCTGGCCCGAAATCGACCTCTACAAATAATGGCGCGTCTGTTAATACCGGTATTTATGAAACGGCAATACTCCGCAAGAAATATCTCCGGCCCTTTTTATTATCATGCAAATAGCGTACACAAGCCGCTGAATTATTGCACCAATAATTTTTATGATCTGGTTTTATTCTTTTATCTATTTTGCCAGTAGCACATTCGCGAGAGGGATTGTTACGACGTTTGATTTTAGAGCCTCAATCTTTCTTCAGCAATGTAATAACAAAAACGGCCTCTCTCTATAATTTTTTAAATTAAACATAGTTTTCTATTATAACACGATAATTGTATAATACATTAAAAAATTCAAAAAGATCATCTTCATTGTTATCTGTTTAACCTACAACGTCTTTTTCATTTTATTTATATTTTTACCGTTGTGAAAAAGCGATTCAATATCTGCGTTTCTGATCAGACAAAAAGAATCGCGCGGGGAGCACGTCGGTGTTCAAAGGGGAGAAGCGTGCCGCGTTATAACCGCTAGAGGGGAAGCTAAAGCGGAGCTTTCCTGGAAACTGGAGCGGTTTGATTGCGCGGAAAAACGAGAGAAGCGAGCGGGATACGCGCCACTTCCTGTTTGCTTTTTTCCGCTGGCTCGATCGTCGTCTTCGGTTCGCGGGCGGGCGGACGGATAGCGGAGTCGCGGCACCTCGTCGATCGGTGATTTATGCAACGCGTGTTCCTGCGAGGAAGAAGCAATCTTCGTCACGCGACGTAATATCGCCCTAGCGTCGCCCGCAATCGATACGTTTTCGCATCTGCTGGTTTTGTTTTCGTGAAAACACGCTCGGGTCGCTTCAACCGCAATCGACGTTTCAAAAAGGAAGACAAGCTGAAACGTTCTACTAGTCTAATAGGTACAGATAACGTTATAGGTCGCAGGGATCCAGTTAGGATTTTTTTACCCATTGTTCCCATCATACCTATATGTATGAATACTATTCTTTTTCATGCGCGGTTGTTACTTTACATATATATTGTTCCACGCTGATGCTTTCGTATCGTTAAAAATAGATAAATAACGAGATGAATTAATTTCCGTTACACGGTCCGTTCTGATTTTCGTAAAAAATTGCAACGAGGGTATCGCGATCCCCAGTCAACAGGTGAGCCGAAAAATTTTCGATGCATTCCAATGAACACGAGCTAGCGGAAAATACATATTGTTTGCGCAATACGCCGCCTGATCATTCTGCAAACTTTCCACATCGAACAGTGCCATTGTGAGCGAGAAAATAAAAAAAAAAAAATATATATATATAAATTGGTTCACGTACTGCAAACACGGGAAATGAAATTAACCCGTTGATTGGCGGCTGCTTTCTTGCTTCACCATGCGCTCCATGATCCCGGGATTCCGTTTCAATCTCAGTTGTAAATAAAAATCTTCTTCATTAGCGGATTCTAGATTTTTGTGTGATTTTCTCACTGTATATGTGCATTTTTTAATACTTCATACAATTTCATGTGATTAAGATAATTCTAATAAACGAGAAGTTAATTATATCAATCTCCCAAAATAAATCGAGTGAAATTGAATTGGATTAAAATATATTAGGTACCATTATCAAATTGAATTAAACATGGAATCATTCAATCATTTTATAAATACAATTTGATTATGATAATCAATAATTTAAATATGCCAAATCTGTAATTGAACATTCTCGTTATTTTGTAGATAGAATAATCATATAATTGACAGTATTTAATTACAAATTCATTAATATCGAAGTCAAATTACGAAACCCTGCTGAATATATTACATGAAAATTCCAATTAAAAATATTGCCCGGAGCAAATAGGAAAAATTTGCATCGTACAGAGATATCGTATTTATTAATAATAAATCAGACTGTTTGAATTAAATTCCTTATCTCGTACAGAATCATCTAGTATACATAAATACAACGACCGGTAAAATATATCCATCGGACAGGAGTTACGCTTGTAGTCGATAACGACACGCGGCCCGGATGAAATAAACCGGGGAGTTGCTCGTTTCCGCGGCGTCTATCTTTGGCACGCAAGACCTACGAATTCCGTTACCCAGGGGGTGCACCATGCAAACCGGAGTCGCATTATCCACGGAAATGTGTCAGCAGTTTTCTTGGGCCTCGGCCAACGATGTTTGTCTTCGCGCGCAGAAGGGAGACGTCACCGAGACTTCGTGACAGTCGTGCAAAATCTATCGATTCCGCCCACTCTTAAACGAGTCGAACGCCGAATGCGTACACGTTCATTAGAGTTTACGATTCGAAGCGTCGATTCTTCGGTACTTTCGTTTATGCCGCGAAATTCGACTACCCGAAGGAAACTCTGAAGTCGGAGAGGCATTTCGACAAAGCAGGAAAACTGAATGTTGAACAGTTGAAACTTTCGATTGCGATCGATTGTAATTAGAAAAATTATCCCCTTAGGAATTTTATTTTGCGATATGATAATTTTTAAAATGATCGACTTTGTTATAATTTTGGCTAGCAGAGAAATGAACGGTTGCATGTTTTCTAACAGAGTGACAAATGTATTGAGAAAGCAGCGTCCCGTGTGATCGACTGCCTCATTTTCATACCGAGCAAAAAGGAGGCTAATTTAGAATCTGTCGCAAAGCGGAGTTGCAGAATCATCAGCCGAACCGCTACTTCTTTTTATGTAACGCAAGGCACTGACGCGGACGAAGCGCGGAGGAGTTCCACATTTTTTTCTTATTACATCATCAAAGATTCATCTTCGTTACATCTTCCATCCGACCAACTGGTCCCGCGAGTTCAAAGGGAGAGAGTGGCAGTCGTTCAGCTCGGCCTAAAGAATTTCTGAGACTTTAACGAGAAAGAGGTGGTGCGCAAGGTGGAATCGCGTTGAATGAGAATGGTATCAGAGTACAGTGTCTTAAGTCGAGTAGAATGTACACCATTCGAGGACCGTTGTGAACGTGCCGAACTCAATTTAATTACGACTAATTACAAATCATAGAGTTAATCCTACAATAAATCCTCCAATAAATCGTATAACGAATTACATAATAAATCACGAAATTCAATGATCAAATACCAAAAATTCTTTAAATGAAATAAATTCTTTTAACGTCTCATTTGATTTTATGTTTTATAATATTCTCTAGGGTTTTATGTACCTAAATTGATCTAATATATACTTTTCGGTAAAACGATTTTTACTCATATTAGGATTGTTCGTTCTTGGAAACGCGAAAAGGAGTAACTTCCGTGCAGCATTGTTGGAGAACTTCGGAGGAAGTTCCTTCTCGCCAAGAATGACACTGGAAAAATGGAGTCCACTTCCGAGGAGCAGCTCTCCCCAGGATTTCCTCCGCGACCGATGACGGCGAGTTACGTAACAGCGGAACGTTTGATAAATGCGAGTTTATTTCAATCCTCTTTGCGTAGGAAGTGGTCAGGGTCGACGTCCACTAACCCAGATAAAGCGACTTTGCTTCTCTGTATGGTATCTTCGGTGCTCCAGGGGGTGTCAGAAGGAGGCGACGACTTCCATTCTGTGTTCCTTCTCCGTCCAACCGATTGCGAAGCTGTTTCTCGTTTGCACCGTTGGCTGGACGCCCTACTCTTGTCTCTTTTGCCTGGCTTCATGGCTCGACTCGACTCCCGATCGAACTGTCTCTGCGTTAGTCGTTTGCTCTTTCGTTAATTCAGATCGTTCCTACGACTGCACTAACTATGCTAACCTCGTGAGTCCCCATGAATCTAAAGACCATCCCATTCCTCCTCGACATCATTTGCTCCCATATCTGGAAGCGAGACGACGGCGTCAGACTCCCTCATTTCTCGTTGCAATTCATTCTCAGAAGGAAGCGTATCTTTGGTCTTCCCTTTAGAAGGGACGACCGATCGACGACCTCATTTAACGAAACATAATTTACCCTGGCCCATGTACAGGATTTTCCACTTGGATCCTCCACTGACAGTCCTTTCCTGCTGCCTCTTTTCTCTCATAAACTCATACGATAACAATATATATTTTTCTCATCAATTTTGGGAATGGAACTAATTTAAGACGTTTGGTTCCATAGGAATTACGTGTCAGCGTTTTGATAATCATGTTCAAAATGATTTTATCAAATTCTTTAATATCGATAACAATTTATTTGCTTTTGATTTGCTATACTTCTTTAAAACTTTTTCAACCAGATCAAATTTGACGTGTTCAATCCAGAGATTGAAAAAGACAATAGAGTTCTTATGTGCAAAATGCATTACACATCTTATCGACTCGCCCTTCATTCGGATTACTCTTACGGGAACAACGACTAAACTTTGCCAGCAAAAACAGGACTTACTGTTTTTTCTTATTTCACTACGAACCGAGCCAAGAATCTTGAATAATTTAACTAACAGCCCGCATTTTCCTACGAGAAAAACTTTAATCCGCTTGAACTGATTTTCCACGATAGCCTTATTATATGATGCTACTCATCACTAGACTGTGAATTTCGTTTTACATCTATTAGAAAACTGTAAATGTAAAAGTATCATAAATAAATCAGACATTACCATATTTAAATGGAAATGAAAAACTTTATTTAAATCGCGTTTTATGCAAATATCATATCGCCTATAATTGATCATGTTAATTCTTATTTCCATAATCGAGATTAAATGATTCTTTATAACAAAAGCTAGTTTACCGGAAGCTTCCCGTTTCTAATCCGTAATTTATTATCCCGAGCGGTAAAACGGCCGAAACTGCTGCTGGCTTAATTCGTGGCTTGGTCAGGGTCGACGCCGTGGCTAGGGTGAGTCCAGTAACCCAGATAACACGGAGTCGACTTTGGCTTGCGGCCGTCAGGATGTCTTTTGGCGCCTGGTACCGAAGGGGGTGGAAGAGGGATCGGTTGCGTGCGCGCCTCACCCCGCTTGTCAACCGCGCCGCGTCTCTCTTTCTCGCGCGAAACCCACCCCCTCGGAAGCCGCCCCCTCCGACGGCGGCCCGCGCACTCGTCCGGGGGTGGCGGTTCGTTCTGGCGCAGCCAGTGCCCGCGCGTCTTTCGCGATCGTCGGACCGCGCGTACGAAAAACGGGGTGGGTGTTCTCGGTCGCGTGTTTTCTAACCCCACGGGAAACCCAGATGTGTTCCACGGGTAAACGCTTCGTCAGTATCGAGCGATAATCTATGGGCGAAAGTGTTTATTGAAGGGAATCCGACGGTGTGATCCAATCGTTCGCGGGTGGTGGAAGTCAGTCGCGTTCCAATTAACGAAACTCCACTCGTCGCGATGCTTACTGTTAACTATGTAACGTACTTTGCAAAAGTGGTTACGGCTACGTAAATTGTTCGTTAATGAGGTTGCCCGCGAAGAAAACAGCGGTTGGATCGAAACGGATTATCCAAAGAACACTGTTGGTCTACCACGTGTGCACACATCGGAACACCAGACTGGCAATGGAAATCGTAGCTATGGCTGATTAGGGGAAACTTAGTACAGTTCTCGGCCTGTTTTCTCGACGCTATGACGGCCAGCGAGATAACGAGAACTCGGCCGAGATAATGCGCCACCATGGTTATCGGAACGAACGTTTCCGATGATCGCGCTCGTCGATAACGACCGGTGTAACTCGCGCTATCGCACGCCCGATTCACGCGGCCCCGATGGGATTACGCGGTGCTCGCAAGAAAGAACTGGCTAGATCTGACCGATAAAATTCTACGTCCCCTATCTCGGCGCTATTTAGACCCGCCTCGTGGTGCTCCGATTTCGGTGACAAGCATGCTACGTAGGACAAGCGTCGTGCAGTGAATGTCAAGTGTCCTGTGCTTTATTGACCAACGAGTGAAGTGAGGACGACCCGTGACACCCCGGCCCTGGACACTTAACGATGGAAACAGAGCACATGTGAGTACGTGTCGCCAACAGTTTTTAAGAGAAGTTGCAAATTGTTTCGACAAAGCTGTTCGACGGCTTAACTACTTTGATAGGAAACTGAAAGTTCTCGCGATGCTTTCACGGGGTTCAAGGATGTTCTAATCTGGCCTGCTTCCAAAGGCAGTTCGCTAGTCTCGCGTTCGGTAATCCGGACGGCGAGTGAGCGACAGTTAACGTACAGGCTGCCTGTCAGTCGAGATTATCGATAGTTTTCGACGCGGCGGAATCGGTTGATGCCGGTGGTATACGCGGTTTCTCTGTGGTGGCACCCGAATTTCCAACAGTTTCTGATCGGCTGCCGATTAGTGGCCAACGAACCCGGCCCTCCTCGGGCATGCCTCGTTTCCCATGCAGGAACAATTTTCACTGTTGAAGTTTAATAAGATCCGTGAGCGTACTCGATAGTGCTGGATCGTTTGCGAAAGTTTGATTCCGAGGGAAACGGGTTCGTAGGTACCATCGATAACGTCTACCAATTTCAAGTTTGTGAATATTTACCATTAGTACTAGCCGTTCGTATACTATACTGACGTTTTTATAACGTCGTTAACCCATTCGCTGCCAAGGACGAGTATACTCGTCCTGCTTTAAATATATTATAACATGCAGGCTCTTTTGAAGGCCCATTGCCAACGACGAGTATACTCGTCTTTGGTTTTCTGCTTCTAAATGATTATGTATGATAATATATGTGCTCTTACCAAGAAATAACAGGGTTTTGGTAAACAATAGCACTCAAAATATAAATGGCAATAGGAATGACTTCATATAATTTAGGCTTGGCAGCGAATGGGTTAAGTACCATAAGATTTGATGGGTAAGATACTAAGAATACCGTGGGTATCATTTTCTGGAGAATAGGAGTAGACGTTACAGAGAATATTTTATATAAAAACAAGAATGAGTCGTTCAATCGATTTCAGGTCAAAGGCACGTAACTACGTTTCCCCTAATTTAATTACGAAGAACGAATGCCTCTAACGTCTACGGTCTAGCCCTTCGACACAGCCATTACATTCATCCCGAAACTTCGTTATGCGAGAATCATGATGCTCATTACAGAACTCGCTAATTTGTTTTACTCTGTAATTAGTTTTCAAATAACTCGTCGTCTGTTCGTTACACCGAGCTCAAGGATCGCGTTGCGCAGGATCAATCGATTTAATCAAACGAAACTAGTAATGCGGTTTTTCGTACCGAAGTAAAATCCAAACATCGGTGGTTTGATTTGTACCGGTGAAACAAGCGTTCCAGCCCACGCGATAGGGCGTACGTACATGCAACCTTTTTAACCTCCCTCTCATGCATACACACAAACACACGCGCATCGTGTCTCTCTCTTTCTCTCGTACGCATATGTACGCTCTTTCCCCTTTCGTCTCTGTCTCTCATTAGGCTGCTTGTCGACGATTTCTCGGGCTTCCACGCAAGCAAAGTGGATTTCGCCGGGGACGAGGCACCCCGAAGAATAACGACGATTACGGTGCAACGGCGCAACGTCGTCGTTCCCGAGTTTGCTGTTTTCAACCCGTCCCAGAATTTCTACTCCCCCAAATTGTCGAATTTTTCGTCGCCACTGAGACTGTTTGCCCTCGCCCGTGAAACTCCCTAAGTGTTTGCTCGACGGATATACGCAGCCACCTCAGACGTCGCTCATTCTTCAACGAAACGTTCTTCAAAATTGCATTCGAAACACGGTGGCGCGTATTCAATCTCACCGAGCTCGATTCAAAAGGTTGGCTCAATTAACGGTAACCGTATTAGCCGGAACTAAATTGACACCAGGAAATACGCGCATAATTTATAGCCCCGCGTGTTGTTAAATTAATGGCGGAGCCTATTAGCCACGGTACGAAATGGAATTATTGAATGAACTATCCCGCACTTGTACCGGCCTTTGTGCTCGTGCGGTTGTACCCGATGAATAAAATATGCGTGACGCCTGGAGAGACCTTTAGAATGCGTCGCTATTATCAAACGGGCCAATTAATACAGTTGATGAAAAATATCCAATTTCCCGTTGCTCAATAATTTCCTCCATAATTTCGCATTCCTTGACGTAATGCGTTGCAGAAGGGAGGACGATTATTAATCGTTTCGTTTCATAAAGTCTCCTCTAACCCCCCTACTCATCTCCCCCTCGCTCTCCTTACGCCCGGTGCAGACGGAAAAAAGTTGCTAGCAGCAGAGTGTATATACATAATTAAACACTTAATTGATGCCGCTCGAAAACTCAGCTTCGCGTTCCATTACAAACTTTATGCGCCTTGAATTACGGAGGTTCCCCTTCCCATCCCGGTCATTTTTCTCCCTTTCAGTTCCGCGCCAGGCTCTGCCGTGTTTCCGCGTCTTCAAGTCCCGGTCCGGGTTGACAATAATTAAAATTCCGGCCGGATCCGGAGCGAGGAAGACGAGAAAAAGAAGAGGCGACGTGTCAGAAAAGTCCGAGGGTGGATACGGTCAAGAGGGGAATATAAAAATTGGAAGCCCCTCGAGCTGACAGGGCGAAGTCGAGTACGTGCACCCAGAGTGATGATAAAGTTCACCGTTCATGGCGAGGGCCGTTTCCAGGAGCCCTACCCTAATTGGCTATCAGCCGATATCGTGTTAACTTTAAGGACAGTGGCTTCGCTGGATAAAATTTTAAACAAAATATGCATCCCAATAGGTTTGAACTCTATGAGGAAAATGCTGAATGTATAATAAAATAAACACTGTAAACCAATGAGTCAATATCCTCATTTGCAAATAGAATGAGAAACGTCGATCCTGACGAAGTTGAAGTACGCAGCTGATTCAAGTAGAAAGAAATGGACCTAATGAATACTTTACAAATTCCACTCTGACGAGGTTCAATCATCAGCCGGGGAAGAAATAAAATTGTAATCAATACTCCTCGCCGACTATTTCGTTGGAGAACGGAATTCACTAAAAGAGGAGATCACTCAAGCGGGAAACTTCTCATGATATTTACTTGGATCTAGAAAAAAAACTGGCGACGTTGAAACTTTTTAAACGAGTAGAGGAACGATCGGGTCGTGGAAAACAAGAGACAGCATGGACATACGTACGTGTAATCAAGAGAGAGAAAGAGAGAGAGAGAGAGAGAGAGAAAGAGAGAGTTGCGCTTAAGGCGAGGTCGAAGAGGAACAGCAAACAAACACGACCGGGGGTGAAGTTACCCCCTCGCTAAATTGGGTTAGCTTAAATCCGTTTAAGTTAACTCTAATAGCGGAAGCGTGAGCCGCATGTGCCACCGAGATCCGTTACCGAGCCTCCCTTATACAAACACACATGCACCCACTCCCATGTTCCTATCGATCAATCCTGACCGGAAATCGAGACTTTTCTATGGAAACGATCTTACGTGACGTGTTTCTCAAGATTTAAAGCTGATAAAACGAGTTTGCATAATACATTTTGTACTTACCAGTTCAAGAACATTTGTATACCTGTTATTGAAGTAATCAACGTAGAGTAGCTAACGCACAAAGGACTAAAAATTTCAATTAAAACGGATTAAATTAAATTATTCCTTTAATACATTTGTACGTATTTTACCTGGATTTTTAAATCTGGTGCACACGTTGTTTTCAAACAGCTGTCAAGTTCAGGGTCGTAATAAACTTTCCACAAAACGTAAACAGAGAACGACAATGAATAAATTCCGGAATAAAACACCTCCGAAATTTCCAAACAAAAACTGCACACACACCGAATCGCGGAAACGGCCGTCTACTCGCGTGAGGAGGCACGGTGAATTGTTGTCGGTCGCGTTTAGGTTAGGAGCACGTGTCTTCATCGTGCAAGCGAGTGAGTAACTGTTATTGTTAACGTAAATTGAGAACCGTTCTTGCCACGTCCTGAGATTACGGTTTCGCGCTATTAGTAACAAGACGGTGTGCGGCGAGTAAAAGGGCCCCGCGCCCGATTAAACAGACGATAAATTCGGTCATTAACCCTCCCCACCCACACCCCCGCCCAGCAATATAATAATAGTTAACCTTAATAATGGCACCGAAGCGTTTTCAATTACGTTAGGACAAGAGTACTTTCCCTACGGCCATTAAACTGTTTGAACGAGGTCGGGGCCACGTTGGCCATTAGACGAATTGCACCGCACTGGCACGCTTGTTTTACGTCGAACCGAACGCAATTATAAGTGTTAATTGACGCAAGAGCGCCCCGCTAGGTTGGCATTCTCATCGGCAAACTTCACTCAGTCCACCCGTAATCGCGCCTCATCTAATCAGCATGCAAATGGATCTGCGACATTCTTTCATAAGAATCCGTTTTAATTCGTCAAAGGGTAAGAATAAGTTTATTGTATGTACATAGAATTCACTGTTCTAATGAATAAGAGACTACGTTGCCAGTACGATTTGGTTTAAAGATATCATTTTCGCGTCGTATTCGATTTGGCTCGTACGCGTTCATACGTTTAGTAGATTTTCAGTGATCATCACGAAACTGTGCTACTTTACTTTTAGGAATAAGAGAATCGGCCGAGGGTCTCAAAAATTCAATTATCCGAAGGCAATGCCGTTAGTCGTTTTCAATAATGATCCTCTCACGGTAATACGTACCCTTCGATCGAAATAGATAATCCTTCCTCTGCTAAAACGTATCTGCTGAATCATGAGAAAGCCTCTCTTTCTCGCTCCTCGTGCACCGGACCAGGGTACATAGGTAGAATTTCTAGAAAATTCAATTACCCCAACATGTTGCTTGGCCGTTCCGAGCGAGAACGCTGCTCCAATCAAACTGGATCCGATTCCTTCGAACGGAATTCTCTACGGCAATGCTACACCGTTTTGTACCGTGAACTTCTAAACGTTGTATCCTTTTTCCTACGTGAAATGATAATCTGCCGATTCTGGGAAATTTCGGGCGAAATCCAAGCTCCCGGAATTAAAAATGATTTTGCATATCGTCTTATATGTGTTAGCTCATATATTGTCCTATGCCAGAGGTGGGGAACATGCGGCCTCCTTGTAAGTTTTCAAATGTTATTTGTATTTTAACACTAACTGGAATTTTCCATCGGATTTTTAAATTATTTTATGTATTATTGCTATGTCAGTTTATAACTTAATATTATTATTTTTCTATTGTATTTCTTCATAATGTAATGAATTTATTTAAAAATAATTCTACTAATATTATTTTTATTTGAAGTGGTATTTGAATACGTAGGTGTTTATTAAAATTTGAATATCTAGAATATACATATACATGATTAAACAAATAAAAATATCAATAGTGAAGTGTAAAAAATTATAGCGTCCTCCTTTATTATTACTTAATTTAAATGTGGTTTCTAATAGTAAAAAGGTTCCCCATCTCTGTCCTATGCTTTGTTTTAAACATTACATTACACATAGTTTTGTATGATTTATTGTACGATACATCGTGGCTATACAATTTACAATGGTGTTTCAGATATGAACGATGGCCGAATGAGGATTCACAGTGCGCGGCGAGACTCCGTCGATGTGCGGTTCCGTGTTTGAGTGTCCGTGAACAATCTTAAGTTGACCGTGTATTTGTATTTGTATTTGTAACGTGTGCTCCTCCAGCCTCGTCTGCTCGTATGTATCGCGTTCTGTCCCGCGACGGACAAACCGGGAACGATGTCATAGTGAGGTGCGAGCTGGAGTTCACGTCGGGCACAATGGCACTGTTGTTCGCCATCATCGTCATCCTGGTCACCACTGCCATGTCGCTGCCGCCGGTGATAAAAATCGGTGAGTCGACTTTTCAACTCCTCATCTTACCAGATATAATTTAAATGGAAACAGTTTCAAGTACATTTAATTGAAACTGTGAGACGAAGTAGTAACAATTTATATTTTTATCATGTTAAATTGTTATTATATTTTGTAATAGGTCGTTAGCACAATTTATGATTGGTTAAGTCCACAAATTAACTTGTAGGCAAAATGTTGATCGGATGTTACCTCTCATGGAGAAATTGGCAGATTAATCTCGCGCTGAGGACTGCTAATATTAATTAGTTAATTATCGATATTCACGCTTCCTTTAATCGATCAGGGCCGAATATAATTTGTACACGCGGCTGGGTATGTATGTATTGTGTGATCTCGCGAAATTGGAACGAATTTTACGATTCCGCGCAGTTACACAAATAAGTATGTTCGAGCGAGTAATTAAATTTATCTCGCGGCAGCTTCTTTCACGGTGGCTTCTCCTCGTTAGGGCGTCTAAGTAGAAAAAAAAAATATGAGGAACGCGACAGAGAAATGAGACGAGGGAAAGAGCGAAGAGAAAGTTTCGCAGAGAACATTTATATTGAATAGGCCGAAGTTAATCTTTGACAAGCAGGGCAGAAGTAACCGAGTTTTAATTACTTCTACGACTAATTAACGCACACAAAAACTCCTTCCTCCCCGTGTCCCCGATAAGATTTTTCGACGCGTACCAAAAAAATTGCGTGCGCGCACGCTCTTTATTATCGCGATTGATACATTCAATTCCGCTAGGCAGCCTGACTAATTAACCGGCGTCAAATTCACCAGCAGCCGCCCTCCTCACCTTCCAATCATCGCTCACCGTAGCGTGATCGTGTTGGTTGGAAACAAATGGAACCCACGACTGTTTAACCAAACTAATTTTCAAATATCGATCCCACCACCCTCTGGTCAATTTAGAATTGGTCGACCCGGAACCTGTGATTTACTATCCCTTTGACGAAAGTTCATATTGTCATATTACTAATTATTAAGTCAGACAATTCTGATGAAACTCATGATGAACTGCTAATTCATATTCAATAATTAGTGAGCTTCAAGTTAACTTCATTCCTCGGCTCTTTACTATGCGATACGAATTCTATTAATAGCACTTACTCGCTTTGAACAGATTACAGTGTGCTTACACACGTATGCTGGAAGCTCCTACAGGCCAGAGATCTCGACGCATACAAAGCGTCGAGATACGAAACGGTTCTGTTCCCTTAAACCAAGGGGGTTGTTACCCCCTTAAGCTGCTCTCGTGATCCCCAACGCTAAGAGTCATCGCGCACGGTCAACGGTTCCATAATGGAGAACGTAATTCCTGCGAAACGGGACACTGAAAAATTGACCTCGCTCGCTGCCCTCTGCTACGTGATGCTACTCCGCGAGCGTACACTACCGTCCACAAGTTTTTTACACATGCGAACATAACTCGAAGAGCTTAAGAAGATTCTAAATGAAATGATTTTGACAATTAAATATAACATCACAGTGTAAACACAGTCAGTCTAAAAAGTTAGTCTCCTTTTATTAATTAGTCAAATACTGATGGATGGTAGTGTATGTATCGTGAGAGGGAAGCAGTCTCACGGATCTAATTTTCGCCTCACCTGTTACCACGACTTCATCAGTAAACCTCTCTTAAGCTCTTTACTATTCTGCGCGCATTTGCAACGAGGCGAGCCTGCATCCGAAAACGTCGTTTCTGAAAGAGCACGCGCTTCGATTTGGTCACGAGAAATTTTCGTAATCGCTCGAATTTCGATGCGGCCAACCGCCGTCGCCGCGTCAAAAGGAAAAGTTGCTCGCGAGTTGCAACGAGTGGCCGGTCTGTGGTTAAACGCGGATTGAAGGTCGATGAAATTGCTGGTATTTTTACAATTTCGGGGATGTTCGACGAGGATAAAATTGTTTAAGTAGAAAGAAGATATACAGACGTTTATGTGTGGTGAACACTTTTCATTTGGATTCGTCGATTTAAAAGCAGGAAGAGTGATCAACTTGATGATTTCGCGGAGACAGTTTCGTCTGGTAACATCAATCTCCCAGCATATTGTCATTCCCCTCCGGTCACGGAAATTCTATTCCATTTCCACCAGGGCGGAGGGGACGGGGGGATCTTATTCAAGATCTCAGCGAGAAACAGCGCGAAGACGTCGATGGAAAAACTTATTCGCGTGAAACTCCTCATCGAGATTCAGCGCGCGAGACCTGGCCCGGGTCTAGCTTGATTTTTGTCTATATATTCCCCAGTTCGATTCCCCGGTCTGTCCTCAGGCTGAACCCATGGGATCCGCGAGGATTCATTATTCGCATTGTGTACAAGATATTCAACGGCTAGTTTGGGGTTTGGTAAATAAACTTCATCAATTTTTCACAACGGCCATTGTTGTGGATCGCAACGCTGGAACGGATTTCTATTTTGAGGTTGAAAGGATTCAGTTTGGAGGAAATTACAAAATTAGTTTGCCAATTTGAAGGGCGTTAATGGTCGTAGTGAAATCGATTAGCAAGTGTGACCAATCTATTAAGAACCGAGAGTGGTAATCAGAGGCGCGATTCGTCAGACGTAATGGAAATTTTCATTAGCCAGCTCGTTCAAGACTTTAATCACGTTTTTTTTTTTTTAGAGCTAATTCCTCTCCTCGGTGTGGGACGAAATTCTCCATGCACAACCCTTTCCTTTTTGCTTTGCTTTCCCACTGGCGGATTGCACATATTTTCGCGAAGCGTTTAAATAACCTAATCAGACGAACGCTTAGCGTAAACGCCTCTGCCAGGACATGAAATCCAGTCTAGGAACTGAGTAGCCGCTCTCAATGCTGCTCGAGCCGCGGTAAAAGCGTCGCGTCTCGTCGGTGCGACGTGGAACGGTGTCACGTAGGAGAAAAGGGCGGCGCGCACCGCCTTCTTCCACCCTTCACTCACCAGGCACGTTCCGCAAATATAAGTTGGCGAATTTCCGGCAAGCACTTCCGTGACTTTAATTACCCCGCGAATCCGTCTAGCACGTCGCGTTAACTCTTGACCGGTCGATACCGTCGCGACGACGAAACAACAAAATTCGTTCATGAATGGAAATCGAAAAATTCATTTTTGACACTCCGGGCGCGAAATTCGGTTTCTCGTGCATGTTTAGCGGGCGCAAAATAGCACATTCCCGCCCTAGGGCGGAAAAGACGGAAAATGATATAATTACAACTTCGATGGCTTTTGTTATCGATTAATTTCTCGCCCGGCGTGTCAAAAAATAGTATGTGCACCAGGGCGCAAAGGGCATTCTGTCACTCGTGTGAATTTGTCGCCCTCGCTTCGCTTGGGCGAAATTCACACTCGTGCCGGTGCTAGAATGCCCTATTTTGCGCCCTAGGTACACAATGTACTATTTTCTTTTGGTATCTAAAATTCTATTCATATATTTTTATAATACGAACCATTTTAACGATTTATCATGAATAAGATTAATGGAATTCAATACGTTTATCTTTTTTAATACTTCCCATGAACAGTTTTAATGAAATGAATTATCAGATCCATTATGAATTGGAATATTACATTTTCCTTCGTATTGAACATTATCGAGAGGAGTCCTTGTCTCATGAATTAAAAGAAAATCATAATATCGCATCCGATAGAAGAGGAGATAAAAGAAAGTGACTAGCAGGTGTTTTGCAGCTGTTAATTCGTGCAAAGAGCGCGGCGATTACGCGAGCCGATAAAACATCTTTATCCGCGAGAGCCGTAGTCGAGACGACTCCATTAACGTCTGGCGAAAATTACCGGGAACGAGGCCGCTCGGATTTTATCGTCCGGTTAAGTAGTTTCCCCGTGGATCCAAAACTTCGTCCGTCCTTCCATCGTTTCGTTGCTCGGTGCTCGTCGTTGCATCTCGATAATCGGCTAATACCCAGCGACTCTCATCGAGCTGTCCGTTATTCACGAGTATTTGCTCTGTTCTCGCGACAGCGTTACGCGGAAAATCGAGGTGCGGAGAGCAATAAATGTATCCAGTCGCGATTCGATCGATCCCCGACTCGCTCTCCTCGAAGGCCGTTTATTTTTCAGATTTGTAGCAGACTCGATACCCACTCAGAGTTTCTTTTGAACCACGTAACGCTTAGAAATAATTACACTCGAAATTAATTGTGCCTCGCGATTGTTTCTATGATCCCGTAATTGGCGCTGCCTCTTTACGGTGAGAAACCTAAGATAATGCTTTGGTAGAGATTAATTAGACATCGTTGCAAGGGAATTAGATGGCATTCTCGAGTCAGATAAAATCAATTTGTTGCACGCGTCCGACTGCGAAACGCGTTGCGTGTTCCTTAACCGTTCGGCGCGGCGGAAATTATTCGTAATAGCACACCTTTCACTGGCACTTGGCGAGTCCGATCCCGGTACGCCACGCCACGCCGCCGCAACGCCTCTAACGATATCTTATTTTCTTGACAGTCGCTGAATACCAGCACGGAGGAAATAATAATAATAATAAATGTCACGGGAAAAGTCTCAGGCTCGGGAAACGATCGGCTCGAATATAATCGAGCCGGCGATTCTTATCGCGGCTTGGCATAATAACTCCATAAATATCCAGAAAACCGGATCGGATTCCGCAATTGCATTGTACAACGGCGTGGCTGAGTAATCGCCGCTGGCCGCGTTTAATTTCGAAATCTCTTAATCTCGCCGTCGAGGAAAATGGGAAAACAAAAAGTCTCGTCGCGGAAAACCTCTTACTTCGTCGCCGCGTGCCCATGGACGTTCTCAGGCAGAAAGGAAACGGGCGATAAACCACTCGCAGTTCTATGAAACACCGTTTCAGTCTCCGCGAACGTTCGAGACAATGCGTCGGCTGGCTCACGCCAGAGATAATTCTTCCAAGAAGAATTGCAATTTTGCAATACGCACGTCGAAAGTGTTCATAATCGCGAGGATATTGCTAGAAAATGCGTGACCATCAGACTACAAGCTTCAGCGTTAAACCGTTCCCA